TGAGAGGCTGCTGGACGCGCTGGTGCCGGAGTGGCGTGAGAAAAGCCGCCTGGCAGTCCCAGAGATACCAGGCTGCATGTGCTGACAGGTCTGAGCCACAGGAGTGAGCCTGGGCAGGAGTGGGCAGGAGCCTCCGCTCAGCCCCTACCCACAGGAACGGCACCAGCGCGGCATGGTGACCCCAACCTCCACATCCCAGGGCACAGTATCTCCCTGGCTCTCTCACGGTGTCTTGGGGCAAAACGTGGGAGCTTGGGGAAGGTGAGCAGAGTCCCTCAGGATGGCCAAACCCTCTGAGCCAACCCAAGAATCTTCCAATGTCCATGACCACCACACAGATGGGCACAAGGTGCACTGGACACTGCTCCCAGCACCAGATCCCTCACTGGCTGCAGGGAAGAGAGAGGAAGAAGGGGAAGAGGGAAGAGCATCCAAGGAGTCCATTTTCCGATCACCTGTCCGTACGGATTGGGGGTGAAGCGAGAGCAGATATGCGCGGCAAGTGGGATACGCCAATCAGGACAGATCTCTTCCAGCCTCCAAGTCCTCCTGCTGTAATTTTCCAGGGCTGCTGATTGACTGGAGCCAGCCAGCCCATCCCAGCCCCCTATCCCTCCCACGGAGGGGCCGGTTGCATCATTTTGCCTTGAGGAATAAATAAACCCAGAGCCGAACCAGAAACTGCTCTGGAGAAGAAAGTTCTGCCAAGGATAGCACGAAGTGAGAATGCAAGAGGGATAGCTGGGACAGGGGACAAGGGGATTCTGCTGGTCCCCAGTGGTGACTGTCCGGAATTGGGCAGAGGGAGAACCTGGTACAGCAGGACTGGCACACCCACCATCTCTGCAGAGCCACCAGAGTCACCATGGCTCTGGCTCACTTTCCTGTGTGGACACCCCCCACATTCCCATCCCTACACCCCATCTAACCCATCCCAGCTCCCTGTTTGCTTCCAGAGGGACTCCACTACCCCATCTGAGGCAGAAGCACCCCCAGTGCCATCGGGGGCTGAGTGGCTTTCAACAGCCCAGGACAAAACCAGTAAACCCAAGCCAGCATCCTAATCCCTAAACAAATCTGGGAGAGTGATGTTGCCATTCCAGCTGCTCCCCAGGACTCCTAGAGATCTCCTTCCCTCACTCCCAGTGCCCGGGAATGTCGGGTGCTGCGGCACCAAGGACAGGGTTCCACTGCCCAGCGCCGCATGAGTCCTCGCTCCTGACTCTTCCTTCCTTGTGCACATCCATTTTGATGGAAAGAAAAATAATCGAGCGATTCCCCATTCCCAAGACGCTGGTTTGTTCCGATGAATCCCAGCCCTGGAGCAGTGGACAGAGGGATAGATGGACGGAATGGACACCCCCCACCCCGAGGGACTGCAGGAGCTGAGGTAGAGTGTTGTGCGATGGCCGGAACGCCCGTGGAATGGATGGAAGAAACCCAAGAGAGAGGGATTAGGAAGGAAAGGCATACATACATATATCGGGAGATTCATCCGAGCCATCCGGACAATCCTTCTCCCCGTCACAGCGCCAGCCCTTAGATATGCACGTAATCTGATCTTTGCATGCAAACTGTTTGGGGCTACAAGTCTTCGGTGCTGGATGAGAAAAGAAATAATGATAATAAACAACATCAGTTTCTTCCCAAAGACAAGTTGTTCCCAAAGAAAAAATCAGATTTCAATTAAAGGTTGAGATTGGGGTTGTTATTCTTT